GTCGTAGCGCTTGTCCTCCCAGTCGGCTTGTCCACTGTGAGGTAGCTGCCACTCCTGGGTATGGGTCTCGCCTGCCCAAGGTGGTCGTGACCACTCCGTTGGCGTCGGGCAGGTCCAGCCAGCGTCCAGGAGGATGGCCTGGATGGCGGAGATGGGGCCCATGACCTTCCTCCACTTCTTGTTGCCGCGCGTGATCGACTTGTTCTAGATCAGCCCCCACGCCTGCGTGACCCGCATGTGGTGTTCTGGGTGCTGCATCCAGAAGTTGAGCCACTCGGCGATCGACTGGCGCCCGAGCTCGATGGCGGGGTCCTTCTTCCTCATAACGACGGCCAGGGCCGTGGAGAGACAGCGGCCAGGGACCTTCCCCGCAGAGGCCTGGATGGCCTGGCGCCTCTGGTCGAGGATGGCCGCTGGGGCGAGGCCCATGATCTGGTGGCCGTAGGTCCCCTGCGGCCTGGAGCCCGTGTTCCACAAGCCCTTCGCGATCTTGGCGAGGGAGGCGTGCTTCCTGACCTTGGCGACGACGCGGTGAGTGCGCCTCCTCGCAGTCTTGGCCCCCTTGGTGGCCTTGGCCACGACCCGTTTCTTGGCGCCGCCCACGTCGATGCTGAGGTCGACCGCGCTGTTGGCCACCTTGACGTAGTAGCCCTTCTGCTTGAGGCCGTCGTGCACTGCGTAGGCGATCGTCTGGTTGGAGGCGACGACGGCAGTCTTGGGCGAGACTCGAAGCCCCGCGCCCGTCATGCCGGCGCAAAGGTCGGCGCCGACGCCGATCAGATCCTTGACGGCCTGTTTAGTTTGGCCCTCTGTTCTCGCGACCGCGTCGTCCACGAACGTCCACAGGCCCACGTAGGTGCGGTTAATGTGGGCCCTCTGCAGGATCGGCCCCAGGTAGACTTTGGCGAGCTTGCCGCCATTGCAGCTGCCCGCGACAATGGACCTATCGGCATCTATGATGTCGCTGACCCAGCCGTGCATGCGCAAGTACCTGGGCGCCAGGTAGAGCTGCACCTCCAGCGCCACGACGATCGGGGGGAAGTTCACCCCGATGGCGGCGTCGAAGAGGAGCGCGTAGCAGACCGAGTCGTAGAACTTCTCTACGTCCATCAGCAAGGTCGCGAAGGCGATGCCAAAGGTCGCTGCCGTCTCGTCGAGCGGCGCCCTGACCAGCGCTGCTCTTAAGGCGCTGGAGCCTTTGATGGCGGTGCCCCAGAACTCCCCAGAACTCGTCGGTGACGCTGGAGCGGACCTTGGCCCGCGTCTTGGGGGTGGTGGGGAGCATGCCCAAGATTCTCTTTCCACCTGCGGGTTTGGGGGCCATGGCCCCAATGGTGGCGCAGAGCTGCTGCGGCCGCAGTCCGTTGGCCTCCGCGCGGTTGTAGATGTCGGCGAGCTCCTGGATCCCTTTCTCGGGGAGCCTCTGGATGTCGATGGGGCCGATGTTGTCGACTCCTCTCGCCTTCTTTGGGTTGGCGGTGCTCACGATGGCTTGTATGTGCTGCGGCTCGATGGGCGAGAAAGGGTCCTCTTTCGCAAGTCGCATGGCCTTCTCGCAGGCGCTGATGATCTGCTTGGCGTTGTAGCTGTAAGACGCCCAAATGGAGCGCCAGGTGTCGGCGGAGTGGTTACCATGCGGTGCAGCTTGCCTGGTGACTCCTTGCACTCCTGCTTCGCCCAGTCGAGGTACCGTTTCCGCGCTCTACCTGCAGCTCTCGCCATGGCCTTGTGGGTCCACTCCATGGTGGTGGCGCTGATGTGGTGCAGGTCGTCCTCGTCGCAGTACTCGAGGGTGGCGAGCTGTGTCTTCCACTCTTCGATCTCCTGCGGGTCGGTTTTGCTACCGAAGTGCTCCTTGGAGAACTCGGGGTTCTCTAAGTCGTCCAACTTCTTCATGACTGTCTTGTGGATGTACTGGCGGGCTTTGGGGTCCTTGCCGTTCGTGACCAGCGCGGCGTACCTCACGACAAGGGTGCTGAGGTGCTGCCACCAGGTGGCCTCGGGGTCCTTGAGGTACGCTCTGCCAGGCGACGTCTTCATCGTTTGCTTGGTGGTCCTGTACCCCTCTGCCCTGCCCTGGTGTCGCGATCCACTGCGCGTACTTCGAGTTGATGTCCTCCGCGAGGTTCGGCTCATGGTTGTGGAAGATGTGTCCTCTGCCCTCCTTGGTGCCGACCTTTGTGCCATCGAACTTAGGGAAGTTGCTGACCTCGTCGGCGGCGTCGCCCCCATTCTCCTGGGGGATGACGAAGGGGGTGGGGTCCTCCTTGGCCGTCTCGCGGTTGGCGTACAGGGCGTCGAACTCGTCGCGCAAGTGCTCTGGTAGCCTTTCCCTCCTGGTTCGCAACGCCTCCGCACGAGCCTTGGACCTTTTGCTGTTTGGGTCCGCGACCTTTTTGGGTCTGGCTCGTGCGGGGAGGGCTTTGGGAACCTTTATAGCTTTGTACTGCCACGGCTCGGCGGTGCCCACCGTGATCTGGATGCCGCAGTGGGTCTTCCAGGGGACGTCGTAGATGGCCTCGATCCCGATGTGCGTGGCGATGTCCGCTCGTACGATCGCGTAGTCGTACACGGAGCCCGAGCCCTTGTCGCACGTCGCCTTGCAGTTCGGGTCGGTCAAGATGGTGCCGCTCCAGCGCGTGAGCCACGGCTTGTTGTCCCACCAGTGCGGCTCGTAGTTCCAGTCGGCCAGGATGATCCACGGGTCCGTGAGCATGTCCACGAAGATGGAGATGGAGACCAGGATGTCCCTGTTCGCGCCTTGGTCCCGTAGGCCAGGGCGAAGGTACGCCGCCACGACGACTATGTTGCCGCTCTTGCTGTGGAGGGCCGTCGGCGTGAACCCCACAAACGGCTGCCTCTTGTGGCGCTTGACATAGTAGTCCCTGTAGCCCTCGAGCGTAGTCGCCGCCAGGAGGAGGAGGAGGAGGAGGAGGAGGGGGAGGAGGAGGAGGAGGAGGAGGAGGGGGAGGAGGAGGAGGAGGAGGAGGAGGAGGAGGAGGAGGAGGAGGAGGAGGGAGGAGGAGGAGGAGAAGGGAGGAGGAGGAGGCGGCGTCTCGACCCCTCGAAGGCGAGGCCCTCTCTAGACCCCCACCACCCGCTCCAGACCGGCCCCCGGCTGCCTCAGGGGCCCATCCTGGCCAACTTTTCCTCGCACAGCGCATGCCACAAGGGCCCTCTCAAGATCTCAGAAGCTCAGTGGGCCCTGGATACGACAGGGCCGTTTTCTTACCGGTTCCGCTCTGCAGTTTTTGTTGCTGGTTCCGACGCCGTTTTTGTTACCGGTTCCGTCGCCGTTTTTTGACCGGCTCCGGCTCCGGTTCTAATCCTGGAGCCGTTTTTTTTACCGTTTCTGGTCGCTGTTTTTTTGCCGTTTCCATTTTCAAGGGGCATGTTTTGAAGAAACGGTGGAAAAAACGGCCCTGCCGTTTCCGGGGCCCACAAAGCTCAGAAGAGGCGCCAGCTGAGGTGCGGGACGACCTGATGGCCCGCGGGGTGCCCGGCACAACCGACGGCGCAGCCTCAGGCAGAAGCCACCGAGGCAACGGACGAGTTCGTTGCCCGATGTGTGTCTGGCACAACCTATGGCGTAACGTACCGTCGGGGCGTTGACCTAAGGAACTCCAAATAAGGAACGATGCCCCTTTCTCCCATAAGTTGAACTTCGATTTCCCATGGGAAACATCAGGGAAACCGACGGCAAACTGCAGAACAAACAAGGAACACCGAGCCCCTCCCCAACGAAAAGGGTTCCTTTTTCAGGGCCCCGACTGTACGGGACGACCTGATGGCCCGCGGGGTGCCCGGCACAACCGACGGCGCAACCTCAGGCAGAAGCCACTGATGCAACGGGCGAGTTCCTTGCCCGATGTGTGTGTGTGTGTGTGTGTCTGGCACAACCTGTGGCGTAACGTATGGCAAGCCCACTGAGGCAGCGGACGATGTTGCTTCCGGCAGGTGTCTGTCGGAACAGATGGCGTGACCTGTGGCAGACCCACTGAGGCAAAGGACGATGTGGCTGCCAGCGGGGTGTCCAGCGCGACCAATTGCGCGACAAGTAGCGGACCCACTGAGGCAACAACGGACGAGTCGATTGCTTGCGAGGTACCTGGCTCAACATGTGGCAGACCAGCTTGGGCAACGGACGATGCGGCTTCCCGCGGGGTGGCTGGCGCAACGCGTGGCGCAACCTCTTGGAAGTGCCGTTTCGAGCCTCCCGGCGGGGCGACTTTCGAGGTGCGTCGAGCCGCGACGACGAGAACCTCTAGAAACGCAACTGGAAAACGTACGGAACCACGACGACATGAGATGGAGGAGGAGGAGGAGAAGGAGGAGGAGGAGGAGGAGGAGGAGGAGGAGGGAGAGGAGGAGGAGGAGGAGGGAGGGAGGAGAAGGAGGAGGAGGAGGAGGAGGAGGAGGAGGAGGAGTGAGGAGGAGGAGGAGGGGAGGGAGGAGGAGGAGGAGGAGGACGGGTCGCCATTCGCCTTAGCCCTTCGGAGACACCCTCCGCCCGCGTGCCATGCGACGGCCGAACCTCCGACGCCGCGACGCGCCGCTCGAGGGCGGCGCGAGAGCGGAGGGGGCGGCCGGCCCCACTCGCGCTCACCCGGCGGCCGGGGGCTCCTCGCCCTGCGCCGGGGGGGCGTCCGCCGCCGCCTCGGGGCCCAGCAGCGCGCGGCCGCCCCCCGCCGCGCCGGCGGGGGCGCCCGCCGCGGCGCCCGCGCCCGCGCCCTGGGCCGCGCGGGCGCGGGCCTCCCGCACCGGGAAGTACAAGCCGTCGCCGGCGGGGGGCGCCAGGGGCAGCAGCCAGAGCAGCGGGCTCGGCCCCAGCACGGCGCGTTTGGAGCGCGTTTCTTTGTCTTCGGCGATAAGATGGGCACTAAGGGGGGGGAGGGGACCAAGGGGGGTATAGTGCAACGCCTCCCCCCCGCCGTGTGCCCGATGAGCACGGCGGCAGTGCCCGGAGCGCACTGGGGGGAGGGGCGTGACGTTATAGGGGGGGAGGGGTGGCCGGGGGCTATACTGCCCATCATGCCCCAAGCAATAGAAAAACACGCTCATGTTCTCGTAGGCTCCCTGCTCGTAGCTGGGGAGCGGCTTGGAGCAGCCCTGCCGCGATCGCTTCTCGCATAGCTCGATGGTGGTCGTGGCCTTCAGCATCAGCCAGATGTGCAAGCTGAGGAAGGCCTTCAGAAGCAGCGCCATGATGCAAGCCAAAGTGAGGCCGAAGACCATCAAAAAACGCTCCCTGGAGGAGCGGTACTCGAGGCTCAGGGATCGCACCAGGGACTGAGACATGGTCGCGAAGATGACGGCACAGCTCAGGAAGGAATACAGAACAAGCAGGAAGAACCACTTGTGGTTCCTGAAGCCGACGCAGTTGGCGATCCACGGGCAGTGGTGGTCCATGCGCAGGATGCACGACTTGCACACCCGGCAGTGGTGGCAGCGGTCGGGCTTGTAGCTGTCGCACCACTTACAGAAGCGGCGCCCGCCAGTCTGCTTGACCTCGTGCACCACCGAGCCATCCTCGCCCGTCGGATCCCTGCTCACCGGGCCGCCGCGCGCGCCCTGCCAGGAACCCCAGACGCCACCCTGCCCGTCCCGCCACTCGGGCACGTCGGGCACGGACCCGGGGTCCGTGAACATGGCCCTGCCGAGGCACACCAGCAGCAGGGCCGTGAGCGTGTTCGAGACGGCGGCCTCGACGTAGAAGGAGCGGGCGTCGCGCTCCCACAGGGGCCGCAGGTGCAGCCACGCCGCGATGACCCACAGCACGAAGGCCACCGGCAGTGCGTTGGCCAGCGTCCACCTCTGGCACTTGAACGCCATCGCGACCAGGGCGCCGCGTCTCTTCGTGGAGGTGTTTCACCGACCTCGGGCGGGCGCCCACGCTCGCGCCGGGCGGCGCCGCATCTGGAGCCGCAGTGGCTACGGATGCTCCGCCACGAGCCGTTCCTGAAGGCCTCCGGGGCCCGGGGAGCGGGCCGCAGAGGGCCTCAAGAGAGGGCGAGACACCGCCGGTCGTGACCTCCTCTCCTGCACGGCGCGCCCTGCCCAGACGGCACGCCAGGGCCCCGCAGGCGGAGGCCTCCCGGGCCCTGGCGCGCCCGGGCCGTGGTTGGGTGCTTCGCCCCCGAGCTTCGCTCTCTCTCGCCGCGTGGATGTGGCGGAATCCTGGCCTGCAGCGCTGGGCAGAATCCTGGCCTGCAGCGCTGGGTCGGAGGGTCGAACGCATCGCCGCCGCGTCGGCGACGCCGCCGAAAAGGGCACCGATGCCGCTGCCCCCGGGACCTCTCCCGGGGTGCGGTCCGACCAGGACTTCGGGGCGAATCCAGCGGCGGCGGCGAGGGCCTCCGAGGAGGCCCCAACAAGGGGAAAGCGAGGGAAGGGCAGAGGTATGGGTACCTTTTCCTCCGCTGAGCGTCGGCGTGGAGAACGTCGGGCTCTGCGCCGAGCCGCATCGCCGGTGCGTCGGCGCTGCGGCGCGCTCCTCCTACGCCGGCTGCCTGGACCCCGCCCGGGAGGCCTGGGCGTGCACCGACTTCTGGGGCCCTGCGCGCAGGGCAAAGGCAGCGACGCCACGGGCCTCGGGCCGAGTCGGGCATGTCCCCCTCTAACCAGAGGAAGACTTAAAGATAGTTTCTCAAAAACAATGTGCGAACGATGCTCTACTTTTGCTGACACTTGTTGGATATTGTTTGGCTAGTGTTTCTGCTCTGTTCGACCAATTTCGACTGTATGTTGACGACCTGTCGACCACATTCGACGATTTGCTCCTATAGTCTTTCTTCCAAAAAGCCGCCTGTAGGAGGACGTGCCCGACCTGAGCCTCGGGACGTGCCGCCCGCCCCCCCCCCCCCCCCGGCGCGAGCGGCACCCCCCTGGGAGGAGGAGGAGGAGTAGGAGGAGGAGGAGGAGGAGGAGGAAGAGAGGAGAGAGGAGGAGTAGGAGGAGGAGGAGGAGGGAGGAGAGAAGAGGAGGAGGAGGAGAGGAGGGGGAGGGAGGAGAAGGAGGGGGAGGAGGAAGCCTCCACTGGTCGTTCCCCCTGGGCGCCCCCCCGGGGAGCGGCGGCCTCGCAGCACCTCCGTCTTGGGCGGGGTGCGCCGCGGGGCTCCGTCGGCGAGGCGGCTCGTGTCCGCGAGCAGCTCCTCTCTCGGGGAGCGAGGACATTCTCGGAGGGAGGGAGGAGGAGGAGGAGGAGGAGGAGGAGGAGGAGGAGGAGGTGACGAGGAGGGGAGGAGGGAGAGGAGGAGGAGGAGGAGGGAGGAGGAGGAGGAGGAGGAGGAGTGGAGGAGGAGGAGGGAGGAGGAGGAGGAGGAGGAGGAGAGGAGGAGGAGGAGTTGACGAGGAGGAGGAGGAGGAGGAGGAGGAGAGGAGGAGGAGGAGGAGGAGGAGAGGAGTGAGGAGTGAGGAGTGAGGAGGAGAGGCGGAGGAGGAGGAGGAGGAGGAGGAGCGGAGGAGGAGGAGGAGGAGGAGGAGGAGGAGGAGAGGAGGAGGAGGAGGAGGAGTGAGGATGAGGAGTGAGGAGGAGGAGAGGAGGAGGAGGAGGAGGAGTAGGAGGAGGTAGGAGGGGTGAGGGGAGGAGGAGGAGGAAGAGGAGGAAGAGGAGGAGGAGGAAGAGGAGGAGGAGGAGGAGGAGGAAGAGGAGGAGGAGGAGGAGGAGGAGGAGGGGGGGGGCGCACAGTCTTACACCGTCCCCCTGGGTGCGTGGACGAAGTTGGATTCCGTGGCCCGTCTTTCGGAGGAAGAAGAGGAACCCATACAGTGGAGGCCAGTCCACAAGAAACCTTCCACAAAGAAACCCAACCCTGAGAGCCCGGGGCTTCCATCAATTTTTGGTGTGGGAACGTCACGCTCTCCAGCGCAAAGCCATCGAAATCCAAGAAATCCAGGGCACACTGGAGGCACGCAGGGTGTTTCTTGGCATGAGCCTCCACTGTACCTCTACCCCTCGCCCGTTTTCCCCTTTTTGGGCCTCCTTGGAGGCCCTCGTCGCCAGCGCTGGATTCGCCTCGAAGTCCTGGTCAGAACGCACCCGGGGAGAGGTCCGGGGGGTAGCGGTATCGGCTCCTTTACGCTTCCCCAATATTATGATTGTTGGTTGTTTTCATCCCCCCGCGACCCACCCGCGATCCACCCGCGCCCGCCCCCTCACTCTTGCCCGTAAATGCGGAGAGCTCGGTAGACGACACGCCGCCGTGGGAAACCCATCGGTGTGTTACGGTTGAAGAAACGCCAAGCCTTCGGACAGCAGCGACTGAACAATGCGCTGACGGGCTACCAACGGCGGTGTGTCATTGATCTAATGTTTTACTCCCCGTCCCGCTGTCGAGAGGGGGGGAAAGGGAATGTGTCCTTTTTTCGCCGCAAGCGTTTCACCAGCAGCCAATATCCGTGTGCTATTCTACAAAAGGCCATGGTCATCGTCCGCCAACGCGACACTGTCCGCGAGCATCGCAAGCTCCTGGAAGAGGAGGCGGAGCGGAGGCAAGGGTGAAGAGTGTGGAAAGGAGAAGCAGGGGCCAGATTGCTGTGCGGAGAGGAGGCGGGTGGATGATGATGATGATGATGATGATGATGATGATGATGATGATGATGATGATGATGATGATGATGAGGATGCTGATGATGATGATGATGATGATGATGATGATGATGATGATGATGATGATGATGATGATGATGATGATGATGATGATGATGATGATGATGATGATGATGATGATGATGATGATGATGATGATGATGATAATGATGATGATGATGATGCTGATGCTGATGATGATGATGATGATGAGGAGGAGGAGGAGGAGGAGGAGGAGGAGAAAGAGGAGGAAGATTCAGGTCACGAGTTGTTGCTCAGTGTGTCGCGGCGACGGCCCCTGCGACTAAGTAGGTTGATGGCTCATCGCCCCGCTTCGTGGGACGGGAGAGACCAGGAAACGCCTCGCGACGTCGATGCTCGGGGACCGGGACGTGCTCAGCGTCTCACGCCGAAGCGTGGTGCGCCACAGATGCGAATGTAGAGCGCGACGGACATGTGGATGAAGCCGATGTTGCTGAACCGACTTGGACCAACCGGTGCAAATGGCTGATCGAATGGACTTCGGAGTCGGCCAAACTTTCAGTCTTTAAGGGCCAACGTGCGCTTGCAATGGCTCCGTCTTCCAGGACTGGCGGCACGACGCGCCCCTGACCCGGAGACGAAGGCACGAGGAGGACGAACTCGGAGGAGGACACATAAGGAACCTCCGAGAGCCAGCGGCGGATCTTGAGGTCGTATCGGGCCCCGCGGCTGTTCCGGAGCGTTCCAGAACCCTCTGAGAGCGTTCCAGAATGCCCTCTGGAGCGATTCGTACTCATCCTGGGCCTGCCAGAGGGAACGGTTTCGGCAGTTGGTTGGACCTGTTCTGGGCGTCGAGATGCATTCAGAAGCCGTCAGAAGACTTCAGGGGCTTCTGGAGACGCCGTCGAGGTCAACGCAAGGAGGAGGAGAAGGAGGAGGAGGAGGACGACGACGACGAGGAGTTTTCGGCAGTAGCGCGGTGTCAAAGAGCGCGACTGGGCGCGAGGAGGCGCTCCGTTCGCGTTCGGGAAAATCGTTCCCGATATTTGGGGGGGGGGCGCTGGAGAGGCGGGGCAACGCCTTCTTACCCTTAGCGCTGGGGGACTCACTTTTGGCCCTTCACGCCTTCGGGATCGGCATTCGACAGCAAGCTTGCGCGCGCTGTCCACTGCGTACGCTCCACACCCTGTGCAATACAACGCGCCTCTCGTCAAAGACAAAGCATGCGACTCATGCACGAGAGAAAACGGGGTGGTCCGCGGGGGTCCAAAGCTCCTGCACCTCCGCGACGACAGGGGGCTGATCGGGCAGCAGTCTTCGCGGGTCGTCTACTCGGCCCCAAGTCCCTTCGGCCTGGGCAAAGGACGAAAGGGATGAGCAGGGCTTCGGCCAACACTTTCAAAGCTGGCCTTTTCCTGGGGGAAGAACGGCGACACCTCACACACAGGAACATTGACGACCTCTCCAGCACAGAACGGCGAGTCGTGAAGAGGCTAACCCTGCGGGCGTCCCTGGCCGATACGCTGGAGACTTCTTGCGCGTGGCCGTCGAAACGTCCCGGACGGAGAGGGCACGCTCACGAGCGAGAAACACTTCGAAGCACTTCCCCCCCGGAGAGCCAGCAGACGCAGAAGGATTTGCTCCTCCACATCAGCAGCTCGGGCCACCTAATTAAGCCAACGCCTCGGGGGAGGGCCGGCCTCTGAAGGCCCCTTCATTTTCGCGCGAATCCGCAGCTCGGTTCAAAAGGAGCGGCCCCGCGGGGAGCGTCAAGGGCATGGGGGCTGCATGGGGGGCGGAGGGGGAGCGCTGGGAGCGCTCCTCCTCCTCCTCCTCCTCCTGCTCCTGCTCCTCCTCCTGCTCCTGCTCCTCCTCTTCCTCCTGCTCCTCCTGCTCCTGCTCCTCCTCCTCCTCCTCCTCCTCCTCCTCCTCCTCCTCCTCCTACTGCTCCTCCTCCTCCTACTGCTCCTCCTCCTCTTCCTCCTGCTCCTCCTCTTCCTCCTGCTCCTCCTGCTCCTCTTCCTCCTGCTCCTCCTCCTCCTGCTCCTGCTCCTCCTCCTCCTGCTCCTCCCCCTCCTCCTCCCTCCTCCGCCTCCCCCTCCTCCCGCATCCTGTTCTTCATGCCCCGAACAGTGCTTGCACTTCGGGGATCTTACTTCTGGATGCAGCAACTGGGCGTGGGGGTCAGCTGGGCGGCTATGTAGCCTCCGTCGCCGCCCCGTCGCCGCCCCGTCGCCGCCCGTCGTCTGGGCCTGGGGGTCGGTCTGGCTGGCGGCTATGTCGTCGCCGCCGCCGCCCCGTCACCGCCCCGTCACCGCCCCGCCACCGCCCCGTCGCCGCGTCGTCGCCGCCCGTCGTATGGGCCTTCATTTCTTCGCAATGTTTGGCATTGTTTGCATTGCTATGCCGCTATGCTGTGCTTCGAATTGCTGTGTATTGTTTCGTGTTGTTGTATTGCTCCGCATTTCTGTGCGATACTTTACAATGCTCTGCATTGTATTGCGTTGCTTTGTGTTGCCTTGCGTTGCTTGCCATTGCTTGGGGTTGCAATACATTGTGTGGGGTTACGTTTCGTTGCTTTGCGCTGCTTAGCGTTGCGTTACGTTGCTTTGCGCTGCTTCGCGTTGTTTAGAATCGTTTGGCATGGTGTTGCATTGCTTTGCTTTGCGTTGCGTTGTTTTGGCGTTGCTGCACAATGCCTTGCGTTGCTTAGCACTGGTTTGCCTTGCAATGCGTTGATTTGCCTTGTTGCTTAGCATTGCTTTGCGTTGCTTTACTTTGGTGTGCATTGCTTTGCACTGGAGTGCAGTTGCTTCGCGCTGCTTTGCATTGTTTGGGCCGTGGGGTCGACACCTTCAAGCTCTTCAAGGTGGGCTGCACCTTAGTGGACCCCGGAAACGGCAAGGCCGTTGTTTCAAAGTTTCCGAAAAATGTCTCTTGAAAATGGAAGCGGCAAAAATCGGCGACCGGAAACGGCCAAAAAAACGACTCCAGGATTGGAGTCGGAGCCGGAACCGGCAACAAAAACGGCAACGGGACCCGTAAAAAACGGCGTCGGAACCGGCAAAGAAACGGCAAAACGGAACCGGTGACAAAAATGGCCCTGTCGTTTCCAGGGCCCACTAAAGACTGCACCGCCCAGATTCCACCACGCTGATTTTCGTTTCAAATAAATAATTTCTACCACCCTCCCCCCTGGACTCATCGACTCCCCGGGAACCGATGCAAAACACAGATGGTTCTGCCCCAATGTCCATCCTACCAATGAACTTATACTATCCCAGCCAGGCTGGTATCTGTACCCCCCGCCATCCTCTGGAAACAAACTATGCGCGCGCAATCGTTTATCAACAATCATAAGTGTTCAAAAAAGTTTTGCAACAAATGGGACGGAGTGCACACGCGCGCGTCGTCGCGCGCATGCCGAAATTATCAAAAAAACTCTCGGTTCCGTAAGGATTTCAAAAACGAGTGTCAACAAAAACATACAAACACATGATTTCGCAACACGGATTTTCAATCAAAGCGTGCGCGCGCACTTTTGCGAATCCTTCAGAAAACCATTCGTTGTTCAACATTTCATAACATGGTACCAAGCGGGTTTCGCGCGCGCATGTCGAAATCGTTTGAACGCCCTTACGCGCGTGCTGGGGTGGCACGATCCGTGTCAAATCATTCCATGCGAGCCACTCTCGCACGTCTGCCGCGCGCGCATTTCGATTTTTTGTTCAAAACCTTCATCACCGACGCGAAGACGCCGTCATCGCCGTCGGCGTGATCTGCATCGGCGCCGTCACTGGCTACCCCGTCGTCGCTGTCAGCATCGTCACCAGCATCGCTACTATCATCATCGTGCCTACCGTTGTCGACGCTGCCATGCTACAACGCCCGCCCAAGTCGCCGACTCGCACTGAAGTGCCCGCTGGGATGGGCCGAGCGGTCAGCGCCACCGCGTTCGCGACTGACGCGCCAAACTAGCTGGCCGCTGCGCGCGCGAGCATGCGCGGGCTAGCGTGGCCGCGAAGATGCACCAGCCAACACCAAGCACTCATCGCAATCGCTCCCGCATGGGTTTTGCAAACCAAATTGCGGGTGGGTGGGTGGGATGATTGCGCGAGCAGTGGAGTTAACAACTTCAAGTTCGGCAAGTGAAATGCACTACCTAGATTGCACCGCGTGCAGTACTGCAAGAAGTTATTGTTCGGGGCCCACGCTGGCTAACATGAAAAGCCCCTCCCAGTCACGCCACCAGGCGCGTCGGCCCACCCTAGCCTTGGTCTGCCTCACCATGTATGATTCTGAAGTTTGAATGTTGTAGCGGCTTCGCAGATGGAAAAGGGGTGGTTTTGAAACTATGGTTCCCGCCCAAATGCCTCACGCACTCATGTGGGAAATTGGCAACGATTTCGCTGGAGGGGGAATGTCCTCAACATGCTGCTCTCGCTTCAGCGCCGCACACATTCGTCTCAGAATATTGCAGCAACAACAACTTCACGGATGGAGGAAGTGCCATCCTCAAGATGTCGCTTTCGCTTTAAAACCGCGCACCCTTTATCTAAACAGTTGCAACAATTTAACGAA